CTGCTGGAATAACACCAAAAGTAATAAATCTGTTGAGTTAAATAAAAAAAAAACAGCAAGTGCAGCCTGCAAAAGAAATCGGTTTATGATCACCTGTCCTGCTGCCCATTTCTATTAGCTTTGGTGCCTGTGGAATATTCACACATGACACTTCCTGGACTGTGGCTCCTTCCGCTGAGCCCTATGTCACCACTGTGTCCTAAAGTGACGTAGATATCAGCGAGAGGAACCCCAGATGGCAGCAGGGGACAAGGCATCGGCGACAGAGTGGCTTGAAAGTACTTTTTACTATAAATTTGAGGATTCATTACTCCACAGTGCCTGCAGCTGCAGGGGCCAGTGAGGGCTTGTTTTAAAGTTTTTGTTTTTTTAAAACTGTTTGCCATCAATATGTTAACATTTGAATGTCCATAACCTGGTTACAGTTTTATTCTAAACGGAAAGCATTACCTAGAGCATTTTGTTTTAGATTTATTCTCCAGTATCCTTGAATGTGATTCACGGTCTTCGCTCTCACTTTCAAAGCTGTCATGGTAGATGGGAGATAACGAATATGGGGAATCTTCTGTATTGCTAACGTCACAGCTCTTCGATCGCGCCATGGAGGATTCCGTCTGAGACTGCTTTTGAGGGGTGGAATGAGAACGGCGTCTCTCCGCAGATTGAGTACCGCTGCTGCTTGAAGACATGCCTCAATGCCCAACTCCCTGAAAGAAAAGGGGAAGACCGATTATGAAACAGTATGCAAACACTGAAAGCAGGAGGTGTGGTCTGGGGTAAGCATATCAGACACCAATCAAAGAATGGGTAGAACCGCTTCATATTAATCTTCTGCATTGCAGGGGCGCCCCAAGGCGAGCGGATACCAGGTGACACCCCGCCGTGACGTCATCGCAAATGCGCAGCCATCCTGGTGATACCCGTCGGCGCCCATCTTGGTAATGGATGCCAGCAGAGAGAGGAGGGGACGTTCACCCGGCGAGATAAGGTATGCCGCCTGGTCCCCTCCTCTCTCCTGCAACTGTCAGGCTCTCACGACCGAGTGCCCAACTTTTCAGAGGGGGTGGCACCAAAATGACTGCCAGTCACTGGCACCATTGACTGCCAGTCATTTTGGTGTCACTCCTCCAATGGTGTCACCCGGGTGTGGGCCGCACCCCCCTCGTGATGCCACTGCTGCATTGCATCTATTATTATTGGTATTTATATAGCGCCGACAATTTACGCAGCACTTTACATAGTTTCACATTCACATCAGTCCCTGCCCTCAAGGATCTTACAATCTAAGGTCCCTAGCTCACATGCATACATATAGGGCCAATTTAGACAGGAGACAGTTAACCTTCCAGCATGTCTTTGGAATGTGGGAGGAAACCAGAGTACCCAGAGTAAACTCATTGCAGATATTGTCCTGACTGGGATTTGAACTGGGGACCCTCAGTGCTGCAAGACAGAAGTGCTAAGCACTACGCCACACCTACTTAAAGTGGAGGAAAACCCTAAAACAAAACAAAAAACAAAGAAGGTTCAATGGCAGCTCATTCCTTCTCCTCACCTAGGTATTATCCTTTTTTGATGCCGGGTAGCTTTGCTTCTGTCTGGACCTGGTGATTCTGCCAGTATCATTTTCCTCTGAACATCTGTTCCTAGGGTGACCACACAGCCTTAGCATGAGTCCGTGCAAGCGAGTTGTCACTCTAGGACGCTACGCACAGCTCTCTGGCATGTTCAGGTTGACTGACATATCTGTGACTCTGCTCTTTAATGTGGTCACAGCATCAGGATTGCCCAGCTTCCCTGACATTTCTTTGTCCACGTTATCACCCACTAACAAGTTGATGGACAAACCAGGAGACCAGTCCCCGGACCCACAAAGCCATGAATGGTGCATTCATTTCAAAGAAGAAAAATAAGTTTACAAATGCATCTGTAAACTTTTTTCTTTTATTAAAAGAGAATCAAAAGCCAAACCTCCAACTGTGCTACGCTCCAGCGATGTTGGGTCCAGGATTGTGCCACTGCTGTGTCCCCTGCACCCACCATCTCTTCTGACAATTCTTCCAGGTCCTTTTTAGGCCATTGGGCAACCACTGATGATGTCTTTGAATGTCTCTTGTGGCTGAAAACTCTACCACGTGGTGATTTTTTTGTCTGATCGGACCATCACACCCAAATAATACCCAAATCATTCTAATCTCCACAACTGTTACACAATCACATCTTTTTTTTTCCACTGGTGCTCACTACCACTCCCATTCTTTGCCTAGACAAGAATCACGTAGCCCGTGGCCTCCTAGGATATCACATCACACATTCTACGAGGCTTCGGGACAGTCTCTGTGACCCTTCAGCAGGAGTCCAGCACAGCTCAGTGATCATAAAGTGACAGATTGTATATTGACAGCGAGGAGATTTATCAAAACTGGAGCAGACAAAATCTGGAGCAGCTGTGCATGGCAACCAATCAGCTTCTCTCTTTCATTTTAAAATCTTTACTGAAGAGAGAAGCTGATTGGTTGCCATGCCCAGCTGCTCCAGTTTTGATAAGTTCCCCTCAGTGTATATTCACAACAGTCCAGACTTACACTGGTAGGTTAACTGTCCCCTGCCTGAGTGCCCCTGTGAGTGTTTGCAGGCGACAATGACATTACCATGTGAGCACAGGAAATAATGAGCCTTCTACACATAGACAAAACACTGATTAGAATTCTGACAGACTCTCACTTTTATCTTTTAAACAACATTGTATCTCTTCCTACATAGACTAAATAATCCATATTTGCAGAGACTTGCCAGACCTTGCCCGGTACAGAAAACAGCACAACAGCTTACACAGAACAATGAACATGCACGCAACACAATCCCTGCCCGGACTGGATCACACAGGTGTATGCCTACCCGGTATTTACAGGGAGAACGATGTCTTCACCGTACAAAACCGACAGCAGCCAGTGTTCAAGATGGCGGCGCCGGAGAGCAATCCCGTCATCCACTGCGAGATCAAGCCAATCACAGAGCACGCTTCCCAAGGTTGTTGTAGCCCCGCCTGGCGTTGCCAACAGAGACCTGGAACGGTCGTGGTCGGTCTCCCTGGGAACGCGTGATGCTTGAGCCCTGCAACTTCCTTGATTGTTGTGGCAGCAGCTGCTGATTCTGAAGCCTGTGCATTGACTGTATGCGGCAGGGCGGGCTCCCGCCATCACAGCCTGTGCTCTGCTCTAATTAACTGAAATAAACTAGCAGCCATCTCTGTTGCGTCCCTGGAAATGCCTGTGGTTTTCATATTGTCACGCTGGCCAAATCTGTCCTCCAGTGTGTTTTCCATTTATTCTTATTCTTATACTCAAAGTAAAGCCACAGCTTATTTTTTTTATTTTGGATGCCAGCTATTTTTTTTTTGCATCTGTCTCCCATTGGGGAGATTTCAATTAACGGAGAACTACCAGGTGAGTGATTTTCACTTAACCTCAAAGTTTGAGCCGACGTGTGACAATGAAACTGTCACACGTCTCAATAGATCGGGAAGTGAGCGAACACATACCGTCGCTCACTTCTCGATCATCTTGCAGAGAGTGGTCACGGCTCCCTGCTCCGACCCTCCACCGCTGACTGGCGGAACGGACGGGGAGGGGGCGGGTACAGCTGGATCTGCCTCTAGATAGGTAGAGCCAGCTGTCACTCACACAGGTGGGGGGATCTCGACAGTAATGTCGGGATCCGTCCGGGCTGCAGCGGTCTCAGTATAGCGTGAGCTGTAGCTCGTGGTATACTGAGCTTTGGGTCACTGGAGGACGCTTATGTCCTCCCGAGACCCTTAGGAGATCTATGGGGAAAAACACTTACCCCATAGTTCTCCTTTAACTTCCTGTCCACAGATCAAAGATTCATATAAATTCAATACATAATAATTACCAATGAAAGCTTTACATTCATATAACCAATTGAAGAGCAGGGTGTTAAACCCCTTTCCTGTCCAGGCCAGTTTTCAGTATTCCAGACAAACCAACCTGCAAAACTAATTTCAGGGAGGTGCCCTCTCCATCTGCGGGGGAAGGTTAGGGAGAGGGCACCTCACTAAAATGATGGCAGATAGCAGAGGAGTTAATGCTTCCTCTGCTATGTGCTTTTTTTTTGTATTGTGACAGCGGCCATCTTCAGAATAAAAAAACAAACAACAGATAGCAGGGGAATGAATAGCAAGGCTGCTATTGGCCATTTCAATTTGCAATGGATAATAGCAGGCTGGCTATTGTAACCCCGCCACTGCTGCTGTCAATCAGCAGAGGAGGATCTGAAGGAAAGTGGGTGTAATAGCCAGCCTGCTATTGGCTATTGCAAATTGAAATGGCCAATAGCAGCCAGGCTATTCATTCCCCTGCTATCTGTTGTTTGCTTGTTTTTTTAATTTTGCCGGCAGCCGCCATCAGAATACAAAAAAAAAACAAAAGGGACCCTGGAAAGGTTTGAGCATACACCTATAGATTATCTGCAGATTTTCTATGGTCAGAGGGGAAAAGTGCAACAGATTCCTCCACCCACGCTAAACTGTGTGGCAGGAGGATTCTCCCGCTGGGCTGACCTAGGACGTTCTTCCCTGTGTCCCACCGAGCTCCTGTCAATCAGTGACGTCACTGGGTGCCAGAAGCTTGGCAGAACGCCCCTTGCCACCCCAGGTGTCGAAAAAGCCAGGGATGCCCCTGGTTTCAACGCAGTAGCCGGTTTACTGAAAGCAATTCATTGAATGGTCTCGTGTGAACTTAAACTAAAAAAAAAAAACAGTTTGGCTTTCGATATCATTTAAAACAAGGAAGTGCAAAAATGTTCTTCCAAAAGACAGCAAAAGACATCCACTACCCGAGGCTGTAAATATCACACAGCGGAGTGATGACAGATTTCCTATCTCTGTCAGAAGCTATAAAACCCAGGTACTGCAAGCCACATCATGAACCCCGAACATTAACCGCAAAACTATATATAACTTTTAAAGGTTTTCCTGGGATAAAGTCGATGGAATCAACCCCTAAGCCCCTGTTATGCTTCTCATTAAAACCGATAATCTTTTAAGAAGTCTTCTCACAATACCGCGTTTACTAAACTGTCTTAAGACAATTAGTTCATCTGTCAAACAATGTTATATTTATTTATTAAGAAAGCAAACAATGTATACTAAATCACTCTGGCGCCGTTGTTTGAATGCTTCAAATCTCTTTGGGTGTGTAATGCAATTCCTGTGGTGTCTCTCAGGCTCGCAGGTATTCAGGGCTGTGTTTGTACTAGATCCAGAAATGAACATACAATTATGGGGTCTGGAAGTTGATTTTAGGCACAGCTTATACAGTTTTCTCCTGGGCCATTCACTTTCGGTAATGAGATTTTGGTGCAGAGCTGTTAGCATTTGGTACCGATGCAGCAGGAATCCATTAAAGTGATATTAAGGTTTATCTCTGAGCACTTAACCCATACAGTCCAGGGATAGCCCCACCGCAAGGGGTAGGCCTCATTCACACGAGAAAAAAGCCGACACGTACAGCTAGGGTTGCCACATTTTCTTCCAGCGAAACCCGAACAACACACTCTAGCGACGCGCAGACATTATTTGGGGAGAATGAGTTGTGGCTTATTCATATGTAAATACTGTGTTTCCCTGAAAATAGGACACTGTCTTATATTTTTTTTTGGCTCAAAAAAA